TGGTTTTTTCGTTAACGTCTCCCTTTTTTTAATCTTGTTAGCCTCTGAGTCACCCATTTTTTTTATGGTTTATTATTATTTTTTTTTTTAGTAAAAAATTATCGACTTCTTCGATTGTCGAACCCGTATCCAACGTTTTCGAACGCTTGTTTGTTTGTGTTTTTTTTTTTTACTAACCTACTAACTAAAAACCGCAGCATATGTTGGGTAGTTTTTGAACGAAAGGTTACCGCTCATAATGCTCGAGTATTACCCTATGAGGTAAAAATCCTCAGCCCGTCAAGGACGTTGTAAGGCTGCCGATCGCCTGGAACCACTCTAACTGTTCTCATGACCAGCATTCGTATGTGAATTCGAGGGAACTTGGTCCCTTGGTGAGGTCGGTGTAAGGCTGTCCTCGTATTGGCGTGAAAATATGAATTCTAGAGGGTTTGATGATTAGAGGAAGGGTTTCTCACATAAGGTGGATTGATCGGTTTATCGCTCATGACAACTTAGTGAGTAATTCCTTCTATGAGCCCCTTTACGTATTTCATAGTTAGGTTACGGGCTGGGATCTTTTACGTTGTTTTCGATGTTGTGCTCGGTCGTTATATTCTTTTCGGGGGTTCCGGTCTGACCGGGTGAATCTCTGATAGAAATCGATTTTTTTTTATTCCACGGATGCTCCTGTCTGTGGTCTGAGTTAAGGGAGGTGTATTTGGTCGGTAGGGAAGCATAGCTTGTTTCCTATAATCTCACTGAAATGACATGTTTTTCCCTGGTCAAACCAAAAAGAACTGACATGACCTTTGTTCATCAAAGGGCCCTCGAGGGTTAGATACCTCGCGAAAAACTAACTGCCAGAAGTGGTGAAAATACTGGGGTGTTTTAAATTAGTTCGTCCCTGCAGTTCTTCCACTCTAACACGAAACAATCCGTTTTATAGAGTTTTGTGATAAAAAATTCTGGGTTCGCATAGGTCTGGTCTTTTGTTTCATTGTTTTCGGAAGATCGAGGTGGTGGTGCGAGCTTAAATGTATAACAACGTCGTGTGATTTTTTCGTGCGGGTGTGTTTATTACGGGTTTCTATGCATAGAAAAATGAAACTCTCCTTTATCAAAGGTTTGGCACGCCTCGACGATTGTATTTGTTTTTTTGATTTTCGATAATCTTTCGACCTGGAAAAATCAAACTTCGAATTAAATTATTCATAAACTTTAACCGATCCAACCCGAGGATCATCACTACTCGGTTCCTTTAATTCGTTTTCTCTTCCTCTCCTTTATGATTCCTTTATTATTTTTTTAATAAATTGCAGTATTTATTTT